ACTTCGTCATCGTCCCCAGCATTCCACTCTCCTTTCCACTCTCCTCTCCAGCATTACTCTCCTTTGCGTAATTTATTTATTTATATAACTTTTACATCTTTCACCTTAGTTGTAACATAATTGGTTACCTAAAACTGATTTAAAATTCAGTGTCTAATAAAGTTACCATTACTACAGTTCATTTTGTGTGTGATTCAAAAAGGACGGGATGCAACATCTCACATAAATCTTAACTGCACTGCGTATCATGGTGTATTTGATGACGAGAAAATTATTCATGTAAATGAAACATTTAGAGAAAACCTTCACAATCTATTCGTGAGGATAAAAAAAATCACTTAACCAAATAATTTGACGGAAAAATTAGTTTAGGGTGACCGTGTTTAAAACTTTATTCAAATAAATACGTTTTGATGTACCCATTACAAGAAACATTATCATTGCATAAGTTGTTACGTAGTTTTAGTACGTTTCCAAAACGTTAGAAAGGAAAAAAAATACAATTAGGAACAAAACCACACTACTTTCAAGTGTTAAATAAAACCATGTTAAGTTTGATTTGTTTCCAAAACTAACTATGGACGTTTCTATAGCAGCATATGCATTACTTTAGAATATCCATGCATCCAAAGATCTATAAACCATACAAAGTTGATTACGACAACACATCCTAATTATCAGAGTTCTTATATATCGCCCAGATTACATGTTAATCACAAAATGTAACACGGCCTTTTCCTCAGTTGTTTATTGTGTCATTTCATTTTAATGCACCACATTAAAAACATAGGGTATTCATACATTAGAAACACACATACAATTATTCTACTGTGGCAGCAACACCAACTTTCCTTTTGCACCTTTGCCTTCTATAATATCTCTGTGTGCATCTGAAGCTTGGCTCAGCTGATATTCATGTCCAACAACTGGACTCAGAAAACCTGCCTGCAGCCCGGCTGATATTGCATACGTCATTTCGTGGCGCTCACCCTATAAAATTCAGTTCACAGCTTTTAAAACAGCACAGAGGGTAAATTGAAGAAAACAATTTTCTGCTACTCTAGGCGGTAAACCGCTGTATAATTCCACAGTAAATTTATAAACTAGTTTTGGATGGAATAATATATAAACTAGGTCCTTGTCCTGAAATATTATAATGTTACTTTACTATATATCTCGGTTACTACGCACACTGTGATTGGTCTCTTTCGCGGGCCGTGTGCTACTGTAACCCACTGGGCAAAATCATGATTAGCCGGGTGATCTAACAACCCGTAACTTCACTTATCTCATCCATCAGAGAATTTGAGAAATATATATGTTACTATATGCTTCCAGTTGTGTACCTCACTAGCTTGGCCTAACATAACACCAATGATGCTAGACTCCTTGGCCATGGTTTCTCTTGGATTTATTTCAATCGTTCCTCTATTACCGACAACCTGAAAAATTTTAATGTTTCATACCGTTAAATACCACATCACATATAAGCTTTATCAAAATCTGCACATTTGTATAAGAGGCTATTCTATACATTAAAATTCAAACTTGGCTCTGAGGCTTAGGGAATAAAACAAAACTAGTCATGTTGAGGTTGTGGAATGAATGGATAAGTTATTCTGTTTCATTCCAATAAGCCTCGGAGCCAGACGACTGTTAGACATAATTTTTTTTTTCTTTTAATTTTAACATTTCAATGGTATGTTTGTTGTTGTTCATTGTAACCAGATTTGTTATATCACTGACTTGTCAGGCGGTAAAACCTAACACTAAAAGGCGTTTAAGATGAGCAAATTAAATCCTTTTTGCTGAGGCTAATTCGGCGAGTCTTTTCAAAAGCAAATGGCATTAAGACGGAATCCACCAGAAGTTCGAGCAACAAGTGGACAAAAACCTAGTACCAAGGTTATTTACATCGTATTGCAAACTTCTGTACGACTGTTTTAAATATCGTCTCAAAAAAAAAAAATCATTTCTAGCAACACCAAATGTCGAAAACAAATGTTGAACTTTGTACGAAACACTTGAAAGTACTGGTGAAATGAAACGGAGGATGAAATTTTACCTGCGTTTGCACAGTTTCTCTGAACTTTGAAATTTCTTTTCTCTCGTTCCTATGGGAAATTGTTTTCGGTCTTATTTCAGGCAACTATTAATATCTTTAGCTTTACGAAAATGTAAACAGTACTGTAAAATACTTAAAATTATTCTCTGGTACCAGATTTTTGTCCACTAAAAACTAAAATTGCTCGATTTTCTATCAGATTTCGTCTTAATCTCTTTTTAATGATATTCCCTCGCATTAGCGCCATTGCAAGCCAGTTCTGGACACTCCAATCTGATACCGAGAATACGGAAATGGTCAATTACCCCTATGCGCCCCTTGTTTGCCACAAGCTTGAGATCTTTCGATAAACTGGCATTTGCTAACATTTCTACGATGACATCTGCACCACGAGCGTCAGTTGCATCCTGAAAAAATAAACAATAAAATATCATTTGCAATTTATAATGACATGCAGATGTATGACTGACAAGTATAACTTTGAGAAAATGAGACTTATATACACAATACATGTATGTTATAGACAAAATACCAGGAGGTGAAAAGCTATTTGCAGAATGCACATGCATTTCTATAACACAACTGGCTTACTAGCATTTTGTAAAATTATCAATATTTATCATGTCTTTCACTATCAGTAATCAGCACCATGCCATATCAGTGCAAAAAAAAACTATACTCCTCCATAAAACAAGACGTGTATAGGTAGCACGTAATTATGTGCCTATTAGGTACAACTTTAAACTCAGTACCAGAATATTCTGAACGTATCCATCTTGTCTGTGATTAAACACTTGTGAAGCCCCAGCTTGTTTCACTACCTCTTCACCTTCAGCAGTTCCTGCCGTTCCCAGAACCTTCATTCCATAAGCTTTGGCTAGTTGCACTGCAGCTAAGCCAACCTAAAAGACCAGCGGTAACAACAATTGATAAATGTTCCCCTACTGATTTTAAAATTCTCACTTCAAATAATCTTAATAAAAATACAACTATAAAATATATATTCTGGTTTTTCTTCATGCACGTATCATTGATCATCTAAGGCATGACTTAAATAAAACTATTTTTCTAGCATCATGATCACAATAGCCACTAGCAATAAATTAATCAGGCTTAGTTAATCCTTGTGTGCATAGAAACTTTTGATATTAGCGTTTCTTTACTCCTACGAAATTAGTTTTTTAAAGTACATTAAAAGTGTAGTAAAAGCACGTAGAACTTAGCAACTGCAGAATAATTGCACACTGTACATGTCTGTTACTGTATGCAGAACACCTCTCATGTGTGCTATAAAAAGCTTAATAATTTTCAGTACGTACTCCGCCACTAGCTCCATGTATTAGCACCGTCTCTCCAGCCTTGGCATGTAGCCTGCGTGTAAGAGACCCGGTGTGAGTTACTATAACGATAAGATTCTGGAATTACAGCATTTTCATTAATATTTAATGTAAGAGAACGCTGCGGTAACAAAACTAGTTGTTTCCCTAACAGGCTCGTCAGTGGTTTAGCAGTAATTTGTTTAAACCAAACAATGCACACAAGTAGTATGTACATACTCACTTTAGCCCTTTCTTACATAACATTATTTGTGACCGCAACAGTAGACTTATTTCTTTTTATAAGGTTAACTACTGTATACCACACCTTTGGAATAATGCTCTGTATGCTGTGTAGTAAGGTACATAAATGGCTGCTCCTTGGCTGAAGGAAACACTGTCTGGCATGAGGTGAACACTGCTGGCATTACACAAAGCAAACTCTGCATATGTCCCTGTTAAGCTGCCGCATACATAGACACGGTCTCCTTCCTGGTGGAAAAATTTTCCATAATTATATTTGTATGATAAAAGATCATAGCTTAAAAAAGGGTAATATTAGAAAGACAGACGAAATAAGCTTAACTATGGAGTTTGTCTCTGGCTTGCTGAGAGATTAGACTTATGAAATGACTATATGTACAAACACGTTGTTTTAACCTGTAGATTGGACTAGGAGTACGATATTGAGTACGAGTACGATTTTTGAATTTCAAACCAAGACATTTCCAGAGACTTTGCTAACAAGTTAGCATGTAGCATGGTAACTTGTTAAAATTTTGGCATGGTAACATGCTAAGGTGTTAGAATGCTACATGCTGATATGTTACCATGTATATTCCATGCTAACGTGTTCGCATGTAGCATGGAACTGAACTTGCTGACATGTTAGCATGCTAACATGCCAAGGTGATAGTATGCTACCTAATAATATGTTAGCATGTTAGTAAGTTAACCTGCTACATGCTAACATGTTAGCATGTAGCATGTTAACTTGCTAACATGTTAGCATTTTACCACGCTGACATCATTGCTGACATGCTACCACGTTAGCATGTTAACTTCCTAAAATGTTAGCATGTAGCATGCTGACATGTAGCATAATTACAGCATGCTAACATATTAGCATGTAGCATGCTAACATGTTAGTATGCTAACAGGCATACATGTTAGAATGTTAGTTGTCTGTCTCGCTAACATGTTAGCATGCTACGTGCTAAAATGTTAGCATGCTTACATGCTAACATGTCAGTATGCTAAAATGCTATCAGGTTAGCAGTCTAACACGTTAGCATTTACAATGTAGCATGCTAACTTGCTAGCATGTTAGCATGCTAAGATGCTACATGTTAATATGTTAGCATGTTTGCACATAGCATGCTAACATGGTAACATGCTAGCAGGCTGACGTTCCTATGTTCGCATGCTGACATGTTAGCATGTTAGCATACTAACAGGTAAGCATATAGTAGCATGCTAACATGTTAGCATATAGCATGCTAACATATTAGCATGCAGCAAGCTAACATGTTAGTATGGTAACATGCTAACATGTAGCATGTTAGCATGCTACATGCTAAGATGTTATTATGCTAACATGCTAGCATATAGCATGCTAACATGTGAGCCTGCTAGCATGTAGCAGGCTAACATGTTATCATGTGAGCATGTTAACATGCTAACATAATAGAATCCTACATCATAACATGCATAACATGCTAACATGCTAACATGTCAGCGTACTAACATGTTAGGAAGTAGTATGCTAGCATGCTATCATGTTAGCATATACATGTGGCATACAAGCACGTTAGCATAAGGTGTCTTAGGTTTGTGACCTTTCTGTTTAAATTTATGTTGTTATGTCACTGGTGTGAAAGTGGAATTTATAGCACACGAGACAACAAGAACACATCTCAACAACGCATGCTAGCAGGCTAACATGCTAACATCTTAGCATGCAGCATGTTAACATAACAAAATATTAGGATGTAGCATGCTAACATGTTATCATGCTAACATGTTTTTTTGTCTGATTCTTTAGGTATAGATGGCAAAATTAAAGCTGCAGCTTTCTACTTCAACAATAAAGCTGCAAAAGTTCAAAATACTGAAAAAATAAAAAAAAACATACTCCATGTTTCCATCAAGTTATAGAAATATGAGTGGAAGTTTGGGAGAACGAGAAATGCTGTGGGAACAACAGCCGAGAGGCAAGTGTTCCCACAGCTTTTTTCTGTGTTTTTATAACTCAATAGAAATATACAGAACATCTTTTCTTTTTCTTCTAGAAAATACTGTGACAAAAAAAAAAAAAAAAAAGAAAACAACTTTTTTACTTTGATCATCACAATGTAAATTCTCTTTGCTCACATGATCATAAATTACAATTCTGTTATCAGAAAGGTTTCACAGCATCTTGTGACTCACTTTGACTTGCTTAACATCCTCTCCCACAGTGTGCACCACTCCAGCACCATCAGAACCTGGTGTGTAGGGAAGGGTTGGCTTCCTGGCATAAGTTCCACTTCTGATATAGGTATCAACAGGATTAACGCCAGCTGCCTTGATTTTAACCAATACCTAATAACATAAACATAACAGAAAGTAGGTTCTGCCTGCTATAATCCACAAAATTTGGAAAGCTTATTTCTGAAAACAGTTTCCATTAAGCTTCAAGGTATAAAATTACTATTAGCTTCAAGGTACAAAATTACTAAGCTTCAAGGTATAAAATTACTGCCATGTTTACTTTATGGTTACCACAATGAATTGCCACATTACCACCTCATGTGAGATCTAAATTACAAGCAGAAGATTTCAAGGAACCATACATAAAAGTACTAGTTGAAATTCATGTTGCGGATCGATGACCTCAGTGTAAAAGCCCAAGGCTATGCAATAATTAAAAATAAAATAAAATACCCCATCAAGCTTTGCAAAGACAAGTAATTGGCACCACATGAGAAATTTTCAAGCCAGAAATACATTATTTTATTCATTCTGTCTTTTAATTTCTCTTAGGTTAGTTTTTTTTTGGAGTGGAGGGGCTGGTTTTCAAGACAGCAAAATTCCATTAAATCTGCTCTACGTGTTAGGTACCCATATGTAGTTTGGTCAAATTACACAGGCCCACATCCTCATATAGTATATTGTCAAAATTATATTATTTTTTTTATCACTGAAACTGATTGACAATGAGCAGAAATTACTTTCTATATTCTAAGACAACATGCAGAATGACAGCAAGAATAAATATCACTTCCTCTACAAACACGGATGGAACTCACACCAACTATCAACTTCAACTTTTATTGCTTCCATCATCCAGTGCATTTGCCAAGCTTATGTCTAAACTGATTCTTGCAATATGGGGTCGACAGAAAAGCAAAAAATGCTTGAATATAAAACCTCTTATTAAAAATGTGAACAACTGAGCTTCACCAGTATAATTATTATAATTTAATAGTCTTAACAATGTGAAATATAATAATACTGTTATTATTCTAATAAATCTTATGAAAATAATCAAAAAAGCAATAAAGTAAACAATATTATATATTATAAGATAGAATGCAAATTTTGCCACTGCTGTAAGTTGTGTCAATTTGCTATATTTCTTTTTATGTTTTTCTTAATATATATAAAATGATTTGTTTTGATTTTTACATTCTCTAATGTTAACTTGAATGATGCTTCCATCTATCCTTAAAACAATGGTCTCGTACAGAAAATTTTTGCTGTTTGAAAATAATAGATGAATTAAGTAGGCTGATTTCAACATATTAAAATTCTTACTTGGCTCTGAGGCTTACTTAGGGGAATAAAACAACAGAAATCACATTGAGGTTCTTTTGTTTTATTCCACTATTATTATCTTGCTCTGAACTATACTGAAAGCTTTGTCTTAAACTTCATAATTTGTTGTTTTGAGTATTCTTATTGATTTAGACTTCATCACCAAATAATTATGTGAAGGAAAACACTTTGGATGAGGTACTTATCATTAATGTACATTAAATATAGGAGTGGCCCAGGAACACTGACAGAGACTGCTGTGGAACCACACATATCTATGGGCCAGACTTCCCAATCATATTAAATCATTAAGTTTAAAGAATTTTAAAAATTACATTAGGAGAAGGGATTTAAACATTTTAATAGACCTTTCCCGCATTCCACCTCAGTGCATTCGAACAATGGCACCAGAGCAAGGTTGGGGTGGACATTTTCATACATTTGCTGTATTTTGTCCACCCTGACCTTGACTTGGCACTATTGTTTGTTGGAACGCGGGGAAAGGTCTATTGATGCAAGCAGTGGATGCAAATGTCATATGTGTTCAACTTGACCATTTTCATCATTTTTAGTCAGCTTTATTTGTAACTTTATTCTCTTTTGTATTTTTATTTTGATAGAAAGGCTTTTATCTTGTAAAGAATAATTATTCATAATATAAAATTTTAATCATTTATATTATAATTTCTAATGTAAATAACAATTATTCTATAATGTCTAAAAATTTAATTTGTACATAGTCCTGATGATTGAAACTCTTTTTAGAAGTCCCCAATTAGCAGCCATGCTAAATCTCATTGACACATAAATAAAGTTATTTTATTTTTTATTTTATTTTTTGTCATTTCTGAGTCAATGCCTTTGTAATGTGCATAATTTTTTCTGTAATACACTGCAAGTAATTCTTAAACCATAAGAGTGGTATTCCTCTGATCTCAGATCAGAGGAATTGTGTCATAATGTTCAAGTTTGTTCTACCAAATTGTGAAGTTCACTGTGTTAAAGGATTTTACTAAATCCAAAACAACACCTTTAGAGTATTCTCCCTTTGTCAAGTGCTGTATGAATTTTTTCCATAGTCTAAAATTGCCATGGAAGTGGAGTGTTTTAACCTGAAGCCATACTAGCTCATACTTAATTGTGTTTAATTATTTATGTCAATTATCTATTAGTAGATGATACAATTTTCTCTGCAAAGTTCAACCTCCAAGAGGTCCAACGAGTATGCTACAAGTTTTGCCATCTAGCGAAGAGTATCAGTTTCCTAAAGCAAGAAAATGTGCATGCCCCACTAGCCATACTCCATGCTACATAATTCAGGGCAGCCAGGCACCACTGACCCTCCCCTTCCCACTCCCCCCATCCACGATCTAGCTACCTTTGCCTGACTAAACCGATCCACGAGTCGTTGCCTTCGTTGAGACAGACTAACAGAAATGAGAGGCAAAAACTAACGTCTCACCTGTCCACTGGAAACACTAGGAACTGGCACATCTGAAACAAGCTTTAGCACTTCTGGCCCACCAAAGGATAACACACGAATCGCCTTCATCGTCTTCAATAAGTCTGACTGCAAAGTCCCTCAATTTCTCCTAGTAGAGACAAGATTTCACACTGAAATTTATCACTGACATCAAAACGCTACACTTAAAATGTCAAAATATCATTTGTGAATTCCCCTCGACCAACTCACCGTGCACCTGGGCGACTTGTGAGAGCTGCGAGTGGAGCGAGCGTGACCAAAAGAGATTACCCAGGCCCCTACGGGCAGTAGTAAACCAAAATTTCAGGAAACGTGGAAATCCAGAAATCTGGAAACTCGGAATACGTCTGCTGAGCACACGCATATTTCAGCCGACCCATCAAGAGGTACTGTTTCCCAGGGCGAAGTAAAGGACAGCAGCATAGCTTACCTAGAATCCAGATACTTTTTACTGTTGTTGGCTCGTTGTTATTCCGCTTGTCCTCCTGAATGAAGCCCGACAAAGAAAGCTCACGGATCATCAAGGACTTACACAAACTGCCCACCCTAAAAAAAGAGAGAACATCAGTTTGTCTTTTCGTTTTTCTGCCTCTTTTGTCGAGCAAAAGTTGTCGTTGACTTTAAGTTGAGGTCTCTGCTGCCCAACAACTTGCCTGGAGCGAGTTGTAAATGTTCAACAAATAGATCTGAAAGTGGTTTTGGGGGAAAGAATTTCCTTAACGCTTCGTTACGTTTGCTTTCAGAAGAACGGCAGGCGCTTAAAGCGGCGTCAAGATTTACACTTCGTCAACTTCAAGAATGAACCCTTTTCTGGGAAACTGAGCCCTTTTCTAGGGAATTGCAGGGTTGCGAAAGAAAAAAATAACTAAGAATCTTTTATTCTTTTCGTTGATTCAGACCATAAAAGCTGGGCCGCTTTTTTCAGACCGAAAGTCATTCATACTGTTTGCAGTTAACATAAATTATGCTAACAGTCCTCCAAATAATACCTTATTCAATTCATAAGCAATCAAGTGTGTCATCTAAAACAAAAGATATTGCTTTCATTTAATTTAAATAAAACTGCATTAGCTCGGAGCTGATCAAAGAGCCTACAAGCGAAAAGTTTATGATCGAACTTCAACCACTACAGAAAGCAATCGTTCAAGTTTATGATCAGTTGGGTCTATGGTAAGTTCTTGTGTGGTTTGAAGTTTCCTTTTTAGTCGAGAAAACCATAAGCTGGGTTGATTTGAAATGGCGTTAGAGACGGAGACGGTATAGCAAACAGTAATAACTCAAACAACACTTCGTTTGACAAAGGCTTGCACTGATTGACGAAAAAAGCAAACAGCATATAGACGCACGTGTCTTGAACCCAGACAAGGTCATATGTATATGATAACTTCAACACTCGAGGTTTGCTTATCGCTCCACACACTATGACAGTTAAATCTCTTGTTTGCTCAACAGAGAGAAGTTATTGGACCAAAACCGCCTCACGCTCGCGAAATATCCGGATCAGTGATAATTTCTTGGGAGACGCAAATCAAACGTGGTGACCAGTAGCAATGAGTTTTTTCTCACAGTCTCGTAAGCTCCCTTCGGCGCCCACATCTAGAGAGTCAAGTCCGAGAGGCAGCCCAAGAGGTAGCCCTGCCATCAGCAGGAGAAACAGCCCAAGAGACGTCACCTCTCAAATACCAGTTAAGAAGAATCCTGGATCTCCGGCCACCGGCAGAAAAAAACCAGCTCCGTTGCTTAGGAGCAGATCGCGCGAATTCATGGACGCTGTAAAGAAATTTGAGGGTGGCAAGCTCCCAGAAAAACTTTTGAAAACTGTTGATGAAGAAAGGAAAGCTATGGAGGATCACTTAGCACAATGCGAAAAGGATTTGATCGAAATAAGAGAGTTCGTGGTTAGGACACAAGATGACTTTCAAAACATCCGTGGTCAAACAAAGAGGCTGAGGAATAGTCTCAGCGAGCTACGTGATTTAAATAGAACCGCATTAGCCCGGAGCTGATCAAAGAGTCCTACATCTTAAGGCAACTACATGTGTTAGCTGAACTGTGTGGGAGCTAAGCCATAATCTGACCGTCAGTTGATAAGTTTAAAGAACAAGATAGCCTGGGTAGCTGGTAAGATTTCGCGCGAGTGCTTTTGCTTTGGCGGCGAAGCCGAGCGTGGCGGCGGGAGAGGCGAAACCGCCAAGGAATGGGTGAGGAGCCAAGTTCTTCACCATAAATATGCGAGCCACCTCTCTGTATTCAAGAATTTTTTTTCATTGACAATGGCGAATATTGATAGCCAGTGTGAATATTGATAGCCTAAACATCTGTTTGAAAACAGGAACGCTAATCCGTCAATAAACACCTCTGACTGATTTTAAGTCTGGCGTGTGGCTCCGCCCTCTATCATGTTGATAGAATGCACTCCCCCCCCCCTACCTTCGATACCTTACGTCCATTCTCCTCGCAACCGTTGAAGCTCATTTGGATTTAACACTTATCGCCAACCTTGAGTGATAAGGGCATAATTCCAATTAAATATCATTCGATTAGAATTAATGAATCTGTCTGCTGTTTTGCTATACGTTTTAACACTATTCCCTCATTATCTTGCGGGTTTTCATGGGATTTAAATTGCCGTCATTGGTTTGCGGTGGAAGATCGCCAAATCTTTAGAAATTTCACGGGAAGATTTTTAACTCTATGCCAGTGGAGAAGAAGAATTGGAAATTTGAGAAGTTTCGTTTCTTTTCCTCCCGTAACGTTCATCGAATTTCCAAAAACTTCACCCTTAAGAGCCCCTTAAATTTGCGCAAGGTCTTTGGATATACCGTTCCCTGATTAAACATTGATCATCGTATCTGTCGGAAAACACTATTAATAAAAAAAAAACGTTCTCACGGGTAAATCAGTATATTTTAATAATTGTTACTTTTAAACTAATGTAAAACGCATATTCGAAAGTTACGTCCGTCGTTTATAACTTCACAACATTTCCAGTTTTCGAAATACCCTGAAATCACTATAGAAAGGATAACAGTCTCGTAATAATACCATGGAAATAATAATATATTCAGGCTTTTTCAAAGTTTAAAGCGAGCCGGTCTTCAAAGCAATGCAAAAAAAAAAAAAGACAGATATTTCAGCCTAAATGCACAAATTGTGGTCTAGCCTCCGTATAGTTCATGTCAATTTGTCACAAATGATTTCCTAGGATTATATCTACACAAGAAGTCACAAATGTGGACATACTTCTGTGCTTTGTAATTCGAAGAAGATGACATAGATGTATATCTAAAAAGCTCGGCTACGTTCGGAGTTACTTCCGGCTCCCTGCTTCTTATATGACTGATTCATGCGTCTGGACTTATATCAGTGTTAATTATAAAGAAATAAAGTTGAAAAAAACAATAACCTTTTGTTTGAGATCCTCTCGTCTATTTATATCAGGGAACGCCCCAACTGTTGTGGATTTTTCTATTGTTTCCTACACTCTATTCCGAGAAAATCATATAAATAAATTTTAGTTAAATAAACTGTTTTCGTTCTATTCAATTTCAAAATACTGCACAAGAGGAAAACACGCATATAACTGTATTAGTAACTCTTGTGGAAATTGTTGTTTGTGCTTTTTTATGCTTATACAAACCCATCGGCACTTAATTAAACTGATCGCAATGTAGAAAATACATTTTGCGCTGAAAGCCGAGGAATAAAATTGCTTTCAGTCCGCCAATTTCAGTTGAATTTTATTCTGTGTACGAATATACCTGAAGACGAAATCGTGTTCAACTTTAGGAAGTACTATATATGTGCGCGTCGAACAAAAAAAAATCTGAACCATGTAAGAATGTTTCTAACTTTTAGTTAAGGCGTTATCTTTAAATCTTCTTTCTCGTGCCGCATAATGTAAAGATTTCCTTTTCGGAGGCCGCCTCCCTTTATTAAAGAATTTCTGTTTAAATATTTGTACTGGTTTCATCATGGTGACACCAGTTGCAAGAATATCAAAAAATAAGCATGACATCACGTTTCAAGTAATGTATTTTCCTACTTTTTTTGTAGGATGTTAATAGTGCTTCTGCTGTGCAGAAAAACTGTATATAGCGTTTGACTAAGGCCCTGACCATGCTAATGGGTTCTCGCCTATCGTCCACACTAAAATGACCGAAAATGCTGATGAAAACGGAGGCTTTCGAACTCGGTTTCAAAAGTGGAGTCGTTTGAAAACGCATCGTTTTGAAAACGCTCCGTATTTAGTGTGGATAGGTAAAAAGGGAGACTTTTGGAAACGGGCCGAAAAAAAGCGTCATACTGTCGTTTCTTTCAGCGTTTTCGGTCGTTTTAGTGTGCACAATAGGCGAAAACGTATAAAAAATATGCGTCAGTTTTCGTACGAAAACGCATTAGTGTGGAGAGGTGAAAACAAACCGAAAACGCTAGGGTGGGCGAAAATATTTTGCTTCGTTTTCGTTGAGACGAAAAGGGATACTTCTATAAACGCATTAGAGTGGTCGGAGCCTAACATCCCAACAAAAGAAATTGCGTTGTGAAACATTCTTAAAAAATAAACCAAGAACAGGCTTTGCACACGCTATTAAAGATCACTAAGTACACATTTAAACACGCGAGTGTCAACAGCATTGTTGAGTGCATTCGTGCTTTCCTACATACAACAGAGTTTTATCAAAACATGGGGTCATTTATTTAAATCAGGAAAGAGGGGGTCCACGTTGTGAATGAATTGAAAGGTCATATCGGTTACTATTTGGTATTATTTCAACTTCATGTAATAATAAACAAATCGTGCCATAAATCTGATTTTACTTTCTTGAGAATTTGAAAAACAGACCAAAAATAGAAAAATACTTAAATAGACACTTCTGGAATTCAAATTGCTAGTCTTCCTGCGCAATACTATACAAGTTGTAGTTCTAAAAGTTCACATATCTCGTTCCTAGTAAGTACTCTAAGGTGCTGTATTCAGAACTAAAGTGCAACAATAGCCTTTCTAAAATCCTTCTATGTCGTGAACGTCTTCATGTGCTTACAAGCCTCCGTGTGTTTCAAAGGCGCAGTTAATTCTCCCTTCGGCTTACGTCCAAAACTGATCGGTTCTCTCACTGTGAGACTGACTAATTCATCATGTTGGCCATTACGGCACGGAAAGATTTCAAGCTACAGAATTAAGCGACACAGCAACTTCCTAATGAAATTCAATGTCGCTTCTCATTTGAACGACTTTCAGTCATCACGCAAAAGCAATTTTCCCTTTTTTAGGACAAGAACATGTCGATGAAAACAAGTTTTTTAATGAAGTCGACGGGTCTTTTTTTTTTTTTTTTTTTTTTTTTTTTTTTGCTTCAACTTCAATGGATATNTAATTAACATGTCATTGCGTCAAATTCGGGATTCTTATCTTTATTTAACATAATTTAGTTTTCACTTTTATTTTTTATTTATTATTATCTTTTAAACGATTTGATTTTTTGGGGGATTTTTTTTTTTATTTTTAATCTTTTTTTTTTTTTTTTTTTTTTCGCGTGATAGGCACGCGGCAGGAGGTAGTCATAAAAATGAGATGAATGTTATCTTAATTTTTTTCGAACCCCTTTTCAAACTCGGCTTGTTTAATTATGCGCAACTTTTCAGGGAATCTATGCCTGATGCGTAGGAAGAGAGTGTGTTACATTTGTAACATTCCATGTCAAATATTTGGAAAAAGACGTGAGTTCTTGGGCGATCACTCCTTACGGCAGTCATGTTCGAAACCGTCCACCGATACGATCGCATGAATTTTATCTACGGCTCGATATTGAGCTTGTGTCACTGGTGAAATAACATCTTTAGACACAACACTAACTAAATCAAACATACGACATTCGGTTTCATCTCAGGGCTCCTTTATTATTACAGCAATTGTGCTCAGGCTAGTGTTAATGCATTGCTTTTGCACAAAACCACGTGATTCAAATCAAAGGAACTGTTCACATGACTTAGAGAGCAGATATGCTTTCGAAAATTCCTCGAAATATTATCCTCTTTACATATTCCAAATAACTGTTTCCTGAAATGAAAATGTCTTGACATGTCAATTCTTTAAAATTTAGACCGTTGTGGTTTATAAGAAACTCATAATTAAATGTAACAAACTTTGTCTCTCTATAATTTTACTACGTGTTGTTCGATAATAATATCCCTGAACGCTAAATGCTCGCGCATAATGAAGTACTTTATAACCACCGTACAGATAATTAAAACGCCATGGAAGAAAAAGATATATGTACAGGCTGAATCAAAAGAGTAAATATGAGCGGAGATTTCTAATATATCACCGATTAAAAAGCTTTTGAGGAACCGCGACCGGTGTTAATGTATATGAGAAAGTTACTTGTGGTAATTCAGTCAAAGGAATTTGTGAAAAGGCGGAAAGACAGTTACTTAGAAAGTGACGAAATAAAAACAGGATAACAGAGAATCATGGTCCCTTAGGATTTGCTTTGTAAATATACCTTATCTTTCTCCAGTTTAAAGGGGCCTTCTTAAATTACCACTAGTCAACCTTACCGGAGTACTAGTAACACGAACAAAAACCTAACCTCCACAGAATTCCTGTACCTGAAACGAGACAATATGAGTCTTGTTATAGAGTTACACGTTATCGCGTGTTCGTAGACGAGGGCAGAGCTTTAACTGAAGCTAAAATTCGGCACACACTTCAACATTCAGTTCACTCAGCCCACCCTAGCTAGTCTGAAACTTGTTCTTCTTCCAAGCTGTCTAACGTTTACAAGAGCCGAAATGTTTTCTTAAAAGTGTACAGTGTTTGTTGACCTTCATTTTCTGCTAGTTATTGTTAATGCTAATATCATTCAAATTGCTCCCCTTCTTCTTATTGGATCTTATTGTGCAAATGGCTTTTCTAATTCTGCGGTAGATCTCTGCGCTAATTATTCGTTTAGTCATATCATCGCGGCTAAACCTGTCATGAAAGTAAATCCCTCACGTCTCACTGGACTTCTGTCAATCGCGACATTGTGAGGGCGACGCACTTGAATATTGACTTGATGCGGCAGATAAGAACGAGTCGATCAAATCGCGCGCCTCACCTGAGTCAGATTTCACCGCCAAGTGGAAGTTAATATCACTCATATCGTGTTGAAACAGATGCAAGTAACCAACTCGCAGCGCTCTCACCGCCGCGAATCCGACAGTTGCCATTTGTTCAGCTGCGTGTGAGAGATTAGTGCGGTTTCAAGATTTATTTGATGATAGCAGTCCGTCGAAATCAAACGCCAGAGAACTGATGCGTTCATTCGTCTCACATCATGACTTCAGTTAAGCCTTCTGAGTTCGCTACCAGCGTAACGTGGAGAAACTCTGTGGCTGTTTTTGAAATGACGTCCTCCGCGACGGTTCCCCCCAGCAGAACTGAAGTCCCCGAGCCGTATATTTCGCTGGTCATTCGCTTAACGCTTTCTGTTCTAAGTTTGCTGCTCAACTTGGCCGGAAATGTTCTGGTGTGTGTGGCTGTGAGAAAAACGCGCAGGCTGCGAAGTTTCAGAAACTACTACTATGGCCTTTTCCTAATGAGTCTGGCAATTGCCGACATGGCGGTTGGTTTAGTATGCATGCCCTTCATCTTACTCTATTACGAGACCGGCAAGTATCCGTTTGGATTTTTCGGCTCCACGGCAGTTTGTAAGCTCATTCCAGCCCTGAGCTTGCTGTGCCAGGGTGCGTCGATCTTCAGTCTTACATCTCTGACACTCCAACGATTCATGGGCATTGTTTATCCAATGAAAGCTAAATTGACCCTCGGGAAGGTCAAGTTGCTTCTCGCACTAGTTTGGTTGTGTGCTTTTCTGTCCGCCTTGCCTCAAATCATTGTCATGGACGTTAACCAGACAGTGCAGGGTGAAGACAACAAGTTCAGCTGCGAGGAAAATTGGGGCAAGCACCACACTATTTTAGTAGAAGGGTACACCTTATACCTCTTTATAGCCGAATACCTCCTCCCTCTCGTCATAATGGGGGTCGCCTATGGTAAAATGGCCACGGTTCTAAATAGAAGGGATGAAGACTTCCAGGGCAGGAAATCTACCACGTCCAGAACCAAAGCAGGGCACAAGAAATTCATTCGTCTGCTGATCGTGTTGATCGTGAGTTTTGCTCTGTGTTACCTGCCCAATCATTTGCTGTTTTTCTGGTCAGATTACGGCTCCGGATATAAAAATCCCTACTTCACCATATTCATGAAGTATTCTCATTTCTGTATATGGCTTAACAGCTGTTTAAACCCGTACCTTTACGGCGCGCTCGACGACTACTTCAGACAAAGTTACAAGAAGGCGCTGCGCCGGTGCGCCAGGATCGAGGGAAAAGCGAGAAAGACTCACGCTCGCTTAGCACGACAATTAACTAAAATATACTCGTTTAAGACACCATCTACGGCCGATCCGGATTCTTCAGAAGTAGTGGATGAAAGCTGAAAGTTCGGGCGGATGGGAAGACTCATACTACTTTTATTTCCAGATGGGTTATGCAATTTTTACAAACTGAGGACGAAGCCCTCTTGAATTTGTCTTGGGCAGCAAAGCAACGACTTAAGAGCCAAGGATTGTTATCCTTAGAAGTGAGACGAGAGGAATTTACTTCAGATCGTCGAAACTAAATGTGGCTAGGCTTGTTAACGAGAAGACCAACCAATAGCTCTTTTGGCAAGCGCTCCTTGTAAAGGGAACACTAATTTGCAGTTTTTAATTATCATTTAAGCGTTCAACTGTTTGCAGTCATTTTTGGATAAATAATTAGGCGTTAAATACTCATTCTTATTAGTTGTGTTAAGTTCTGCAGGGGTTCTGCCCTGAGAGACAATTTTTCGCTTAGCGGTTCCGTCAAGAATTGTCGTGGTCGTAATGACCGCTTCGCGTCTTTGTCGACATGTTTTACTTCTCGTGACAAGTTCTTATTTAAGCTTCGGCATTCTTGTCATTATTGTTCTCATGTCGATTCAAAACTCCTTGCAGGGTTGTTGTCCTGTGATTATTTGTTCAAGTCAGATTGTGATTCTTGGAACATCCGGTGTCAATGAGTTAGCATTTGCTTATGTACTCATTCCATTAACGCTAAGGCGCTTCCGAACTGACCTCGCCACAGGAAATTTGTAACACGTAGAAACAACAGAAAGCCAAAAGCACCGTGCGAATTCAATTCAAGAAGAGATAGTCTAAAATGAACAGACGAAAACAATTGAAATGACAAAACACGACGACAAAGGAAAATGTGAGCACTAGATAACGTACAGTTTAATTTGACATCGAAATAATTTGACAGTCTTTAATAGTTTCCATCATTAGACCCCTGTGTGCACTTTACGGGCTGTAAAAGCTTTCGATTCTACAGGTCACGTCAACGATGTACTAAGAGGCATCATTTCATGCTCTCAACAAAACAGAAAGCTATATGAGCAGAACAAGTGGTCGTTATACTCATGCCTGTAAAGCCTTCCGTCGAAGAACAGAAAGGTTTCGGCAATTAGAGAAATTTTGGCGAGAATTGTCACGACTTAAGATTTAAGATAAAAGACACTCAAACTAGCAACAATCGCCTTTCATTAGTTAATTGACTTAAGTTTTAAGAAGAAGCAAATTTTGGAGTTTAGTTGACTGGGGTCCATTCCGCGGTAGGGCTCAAACACGGGAGCTGGAAAGAGGTAGAGGGCAGACTGCATGTATAATAGGAGACAATTTCATAACAAGCAGAATAGAGTTTGGATTGAATTTCCAAGCTTATATGTATATATTTAGGAGAGTTTCAGCAGGGTCTTAGAGCACTTTGTGCTAAACTGAGAATGGAGCGCTCGCACATGTATCTGGGCCTTGTTCCGCTAGAACGTTTAAGTATACAATTACGAATCAGACTACTAGTACATCTACGTAGTTTTATCTTCATAATTGCGAAATAACTCGTTGACATGCAAGCACACTCTTTCAGATTAAAATCGCTTGGCCTCAAACGCCCTACAAATTGGCTACATTGATCATAAATGCCAGTTTATTCAGTGCACTCTTCGCGTAAAATGATTTAGCATCTGGGGGGGCTCGCGTGAGAGCAAAACTATCAGGCTATGTTATTTACGCGTTTCATGAGTGTTTCAAACGAGAATTCATTTTCAACAAAAACCTATGTAACCTCTGTTTGAGTAGGCAAAATCAGAGGCTATGCATAGTTGTAACTATTAGTGTAGCGATCACCAAATCAAACTTAACCAGGCCTTACTTACTAATCTAATTAATCAGGATAATGTCTTTAAAATGTGATGAGAGCTTTATTTTTCCTTTTCGTTTTGTTATTGCAAGGCTCGTGACATATCTGAGTGAAACCGTTTCTTTGAAAAAATAGTGAAATAAATATATGTTTATGCATTTAGCGTAAATTGACTCGCGATTTTAACCTGATATTTTAAAAATAAATAAAACTTGTATAACAGCTGTTAGGCAATCAGAGCTTTCCTCGACTCAAAGGTATTCTGTTAGACGCAGCCACGTCGTGTTCAAAGTCAGTCCGATGTTATCTTGAGATCTAAATGATAAGAAAAAAGGAATCTTTCCATCATCAAGTCTTAAAGAATGCAGGAGTTGTTATGGTCGTTAACAAACGAACAGCAAAATGAAGGAGATATACGGCGATTGCATTGAGAAAATTCTTCAACCTCTGCCCTTACTGAGTTATTGTTTTCAACGGATAAGAATTTAACATTTAAGTGAATCTCAATGAAATCCGATTAACGGTCAAATACGATTCCGTGCATCCGTGCATTCCTTTATTTGTGTACATTTCTCGCAGAGGTCTTTTCATTTTGTTATTATTTCTCCATAATTGGTCTCGGTTTTGTTAATCTTAATGAAATGCTTCAAATATGATAACAAAGGCTAAATTTGTGTCCAGCATATCTCCGCGTACTGCATCGAGTAAAAGGAAATTCGTGCTTTTTTCCAAATTACAGCAGAAAAGACCATCGCATCACATATCTTCTAGTTTTATCCTTTTCTTCCAGTCTGTAACAATAATGAAATTAATTAAGTTCCAGAAGTCCCCGTAAGTTGTTAACGCGTCCAGGGCGGAACTTTCACCAGGATGACTGACCGTCACGTCCGTGGAAACGAGGAAACGAACATTGTTTCACGTTTTCCCCCAGCCTCTCAGCCTCTCAAACACACCTTCAAAATTAAGAGACAGGATATAAAGCCACTTTAAAATGTTAAGGATGGCACGCACGGCCAGGGGCACGTAAGGGGTCTGCGCATCACGTGTTATCTTTGTAACAGCGAGGAACAAAAGGATAGCTAATGGCAATAATCCCATCATGACCACTGGGAAATATTACTTTTTTATTGTGATTCATGTTGTTCTGTAGTTCACAGCTTAAACATTTTACTGGTAGAAACCGTGGGGTTACCTAAATCTCAGGAATTTTTTACAATAACCCCAGCGTTTAACTTGGACTGAACCCAAGATAAAGACAATCTTATAGCCAATAAGGAGGCAGGAGATACACCAACTGAAATATCTTCCTCTGATAGAAAAGAAAGCGTAAAGAGTCTGTATCAGTTCTTAACCTATGTCCTTGTTGAAATTCTTGTTGTTGTTTTTTTGTATTCTTAAGCTCAGACTAGGCTCTTCTTTACCTTTTTGCATTTCGGTTTTTTTGACCTACGTGCTGACAAAATAAATCTCCAAGTTGGCTTAGTCGATAATTTTCTATGTTACATCAAATGAGGTTAAACTGAAAGTAAAGATCGCACATGCTAATGTCCATAGGAACTAATTAAATTAACTGAATGCAACTATCTCCATCCACACCACTCCAACAGCCACAGACACAACATGGTTGACGCCTAACTAAACACAATAAAAAGCTAAAAAGAGAGACGGCACTTTGAAATTGCATTTAGTCACGGGATATAAATAGATGTCATCCACCACTTAAGTATTTAGAAACTATCGTGCGATCACAGAGTAAAATGCCAGCTTGCTACAAGGTGGCCTGGCCCTAAATAGCTGCGAAGGTGATCCAAGCCGAAAAACCAACAAAAAACTGACACGCGTTTTCAGTGAAGGTGGTATGACGAGGTTAATTAAAAGGCTTCGAATTGAAGAGATTCTTTCCGCTGTAATTACCATCAAATGAAATGTGAAAAGAGGCGCCTCTCCTTACAGACGATTGCTTAAAGGGGAAGCTGAACGGTATAGTTTCTGTTGTCCTAAACTTGGACGATGTTGCTGCGCACATCATCGCTTAATTAAGTTGTGATAGAAGGCTATTACAGGAAGGCTACATTATTGATAACTACTCAAAACACCTTATAGTTTTAACAGGAACCTCGTGTAACTCATACCAGATATCTGCAGCTTCAATGTTTTAGACTGATGGTCACCATTTGAAAAAGTTCACACCCGAAAGCACTTAAGTTTACATTTAGATTTATCTCGATACTTTCAAGATGACGATATCGTGAAATCGTCGACGACTTACATCCTATATAAGATATTTTTCGGCAGAATGCCACATTGATAAAAAGCTGAATTTTCAGCTGTTGCGCAGACAAAATGCCATCGAATGCTCCGTCAAAACACATTATATGTTAGTCAAACTAATTACAATTCCAGCTACCCAACAAACCCCACAGTTGAACATCGTGGGAAATTTCAACCAACCTAAGGATTGATTACCAAACGTTCAGTAAATAAAGTGTTTATTCTGGCAGGAATGTGATGAAAATTGCCCCTTTTGTTGCGTTGAAAACTAAGAGTCAAAAAGTTGCTTCTCTTTGCAAGTTCTTATAAATCATCTTTTCTGTTCTTGGGCACATCCGTTTGCACTTTGATAAACTTTAATGCTGTTACCAGCTGTTAGGGCTGATGAATCGGAGATAATCTTATCACTAAGTGCGTTAGGCGAGGGCCCCGAAGGGGCAAAGTGTGCAACAAGGACAACACTTGCTATTTTTCCCAGAGGAGAAAAATATAATCGATATCATCTTTCTAGAACAAGAAGTAATCTACTGCATAAACGCGATCAACCCCAGAAGAACTAAAGAAGGTTTCAATACCAGAGCTCTTTGATGTGAAGTAAGTGGACCTAAGGTCTTGTAGGCTAGGCTCTTTGAGGCTTGGCGCATTTTTGTCTATTTTTCTAATTTTTTTTCCCAAGGTAGCACTTATGATAAACATATAGCGTACGTAACCGCTCTTAAAACAATAAATTACAAGAAAAAGGAAAAAATAAAAAATAAAAATAAAAATTGCCCATTCAGCTCACACACCATTGGAGGGTGAAATGGAAGGTGTGGTGTGAGATCAGCTTTCGGCTGAAACTCATCGCCTTGTTGCCTTCCCATGCCATACGTCCAAACCCGATGATGGTAAAATATGAAAAATAAAATAAACAAATAAGAGAACACATGTAAATGTGAAGTCAATAATTGCAATAAGACATTATCTTTATGCGAGCGTTCTAAAAAGTGACCGCCATGTAAGCCTGGATTCTCGCGGTTCGAGGCTGGGTTACAACAGCCGCGGAGTTCCGCGTGCGCATCGTTCTGAATGACTAAGAATACAAAAAAAAAATTGATACGCAATAAAAGAGCATCAAACGCGTCAAAAGCAATCGTCAGTAGCCTTAGACATTTATCCCTCTCGGAGAGTCACTGCTATCACGGTGCCTCTCTCCACCCAGGTGTATAAATGGGTACCGACGAATTTAACGCTGGGGGTAACCCCGCGATGGACTATCATCCCATCCACGAAGGAGTGGAAATACTCCCAGTCGCACCATGCGACATAAACTGGAGATAAGTGCTGGCCTGCTGGGCCATTTGGCTCGTATGCAAACTTTACCTCAAAGTATAGATTGTTGTTTTATCACAACAAATCGTCCCACTTTCCCGATAAGAAATCTCGTGACTGCCTTGCGTCATATGGTAAACGTCAAGAGTTCTGCATTCCTTGGCGTTTCCCTACCATGAAGAACTACATTTTTTATGGTTCAAAATCTAGAAGGAACTTTTTGCATCAGAACAATGACTTGAAAAATCGTGGCATGGTTTCTTAAATGCTTTCAAAGATACGGAGGTTTGGAGATTAAACTTAGGAAAAGTTGATGAACAAGTAATTACAGCCATTCAAGTGCGCACCGAGTCAATTTCCTATCACGTCTTCAATTAACTCTCAAGCAGTTATTTTGTACTGATTGACACTATTTACTGTTTCATGATTGTATGGTGCAATAGATTCTTGATAAAGAGAGATAGGACGTTCTCAAAATCAGGTCAACATCTAAATACTACATTACAAAAGATTATTTGTCAGTGATCAATGAGTGGAATGTACATGCTTGCAAAGAATGTATCAAACCACTGCTGGAAGATGCCAAATTGAAAGTTGTTATTACAACTCAGTGAAGAACAACGCGGGATGGTCGGTTGTGTCTCAGAACCTTTGGTGCTGGCCGTCGACGGTTGAAGATTAAACGTGATAGACTATTGACCTCTTTCGAAATTTTACTTTTCGTATAGTTTTCAAAAGGATGCCAGGGAGCAATAGCAAACAATTACAATGTCCTTAGGATTTTTTTATTTTACCAAGCTAAGTAGTTTTGTCTAAGTCCATGTTGCCTCGGTTTTGTCTAGTAACAAACAGTTTTAACTATTTTTTTCTTTTTTTGTGTGTGTCTTCAGTTAGCTTGTAAAGTCTTAAGCCTCACGCACGTCGCAACAGCGTGGTCAAACACGCGCAACATGTTGCGCCCAGCAATGTTGCGATATGTTGCGTCGAAATGTTGCGATCGTTTCGCCGAGACTTAACATATGTAACTTCACGTCACTTCACGTCGGGCAAACGTTCAGTTAACTTCTTACGTCAAACACATGCAAAAACAGAAAAAAATAAAAGAACTAAGCTGCAAAGTGGCATTAGACATCAAAGCAGCCAATCACTCCAGCAACCAATGTCATGAGATGAATAAGATTCTTGCCACTCCCCCTTGATAACATGGTACTAAAGGTTACCAACAGGTTACCTCCACCCCTCACCCCCTCAATACTTTGTCTTCATTGCCTGATCGATTCGGTTTTTAAATTCCCGAATAAAGATAGGCCCTATAAGAGTGGCGCACGTCCTTCGAGGAAAGAATACATAACTAAGAAAAGAGTACACTGCCACACCCAAGATCACAACACAATCACCCCATGTTCAAGACGTATAAGAACTTTTGGATGACTTCTAAATACCATGATTTTCAGCCACAAGGTTGCAAGCAAATAATTATGCTGAAGGCAGAGGGAAATTATTTATCTCCGAAAATCTGAAAACCTTCGTTATTTTAAGAACCGAATCCAATGGCTGCACTATGGATTAACAAGTT